GGTTCCCTCTTTTATCATTATTGTTTTCAGTATTTACTTTTAGTGGTGATCGGCACGATATCTTTCGTTTATTTCTATGCGGTGCTGAGGATGGAACCCAGGCCTGGCCCGTGTAGGTGAGCGCCCACCGCTGAGCCCCGCCCCAGCCTTCTCCTGTTTGAAACTGGGCTGGGTCACCTTGCGGAGTTAGCCTTTGGGGCCGGTGGAGGTGGAAGTGGAGGTTTCTCTGCTGTTCTTTGGCCGCGAGCCTCTGGGCCCTGGCCACACCTCCTCACCAGCCGCAGCCTCCTTCCAGGCTGGGCTCCACAGTCTGATGTGATCACTGAGGTTCCACAGGCGCGATGCGTCCACCTGACGGGCCGCGAGGTGCCCAGATGCTGGGCAGACGTCACCCCACACCCTGGGTGTGTCTGTGGGGCGTGCACTGAGCAAAGGAGACGGCCCTTGGGCCTCACTCGGCCAGCTGAAGCCTGAATGCACAAAGGCGGGGAGCGGGGTTCCTCTGCCTTCAGACAGACTGCAGCGTGGGCTTTCCCGGGCCCGGGGCCCCTGACCTCCCGACGGGCCCACGTCCGAGCTTCTCCTGGGTCTCAGGCCTCCCGACTGCGCGGATCGGCCCATTAGCGCTCCCGGGTCTCACCATGGCTCCGCCGTGCTCGGGACTCGGCCTCCGCGACTGTGTGAGCCGTGTCCATCATCCATGGTCTGTCACCTACACCCGGCAGGCAGTCACCCACCCATCTACCCTGTCGGCTCTCTTTCTCTGGAGAGCACTCACTACTCTTAAAATAGGGAAGTGCATCGCTCCAACTTTGTTCTTGTTCACGCGTGCGTGCGTGTGTGTGCTATCCTAGTTCCTTTAACTCTCCACAGACATTTCGGAATCCCTTGTCTACATGTGCACAGAACCTACTGGGATCATGACTGGGACGGCTTCAGATCTGTCGATGTTCTCAAGAGAATCGGTGTCGGGCTGCACCACGTCCTCAGTCCATGAACATGGACGCTCTTCCATGGGGCCGCTCCTCCGGTTCTCTCGGCAAGTCTTGTTCTCTCACATTCAGACTCGTCCTTCTTTCACCCCATTTGTACAGAGGGAGTTTACTTTGGGGATCTATTGAATTGTTTTCAATTTGGGGTTTCCAGTCGTTCACTACTATTGTATAGAAATATGATTGATTTTTACATATGGATCTTTTAAAAATATTTATTTTTTTAGTTGTAGATGGACACAATACCTTTATTTTATTTTTAAATTTTTTTTGGTGCTGAGGATCCCACCCAGGTCTCACGCGGGCGAGGCGAGCGCTCACCGCCGAGCCCCAGCCCCAGCCTGCACATAGGTGTTTTATCTTGCAACTTTGCTAAACTCACTATTAATCCAGAATCTTTTTTTTTTTTCTTTTTGTAGATTTCCATGGATTTTCTACGTAGACAGTCAAGTCACCTGTCTCGCTGACATTTGTTTTTCTTTACTGGGGCAGGTTTTAGGACTCGCAGCGTGGAGTTGACTAGGAATGGGGACTACGGGCATCTTTGCCAAGTTCTTGATCTTAAGGGGAAAACATCAATCTTTCGCCATTAAGTATGACGTTAGCTGTAGTTGGTGTGTGTGTGTGTGTGAGTGCGTGTGTGCATGTGAGTGTCTGAGTGTGTATGTGTGTGTGTGCGTGCGTGTGTATGTATGTGCGTGCGTGTGTGCGTGTGTGCATGGGTATGTGTGTGTGCGTGCGTGTGTGCAGGTGCGTGTGTTTATCGATTCTCTGGATCAGGTGGAGGGAGTCACGCTGTTCCTGCTGGCTGAGGAGATGCTGTGTCAGGTGCGCTGTCCTCATCAATCCTCGGAGCGTCAAGCTGTTTTCATTGATTGTTTTCTCTGTTCGACTCCCTCGCCCCCAGGACGAGCCCCCGGTAGCTGCTGGACCTGGTCTGCTGGTGTCGTGTTCAGGGGATCGGCTCTGTGCTTCCTTGAACTGTCCTTACCTAATGTTGGCGTCAGGATGATGCTGACCTCAGAAAGGAGCTGGAAGTGTCCCCCGCTGTCTTCTGGGACAGACCCAGGTTTTGATGCTGTTTATTTTTCAGCGTTTGGTAGCGTTCACCACGGAAAGCAGGTGGCCAGAGGATATAGCTCATTCCTATTCCTTGGAGGACCTTGTGTAGGACGCTTCTGGCTCCACTTCTTCTTGAGTGGGTCTTGGCCGCATGTGTCTTCCCAGAAATCTGTCTGTTTCCTCTAAGATGTCAAACTTGTGTACATGCAGTTCTTGGTAGTTTTTTTGCTTTTGGTTTGTTTTGTACCAGGGGTTGACCCAGAGGCGCTTAGCCACTGAGCCACACCCCCAGCCCTTTTTATTTTTTATTTAGAGACAGGGTCTCTCTAAGTTGCTGAGGCTGGCTTTGAACTCGAGATCATCCCGCCTCAGCCTCCCGAGTTGCTAGGATTGCAGGAGAGGCCACTGCACTTGGCAATGCACACGTTATTAGACATGATCCTATTTACATCCGACGGACTGCATATAGTGTAATACAGCTTTTATATGCACTGAGAAGATAATCACGACTTCCTTTCTGTGATGATCACGTTATTGCTATGGCTGGAACCCGACCTATCGTATCTCTGAGGCCCACCTGCAGAGATCTTTCTTCTTTTCTGATATAAGTACTTTAATGCTATGAATTTTCCTCAAAGCACTCTTTAGCTGTATCCTAGAAAAACTTTTGAGAAAGGGTCTTTATGTTGTCCCAACTGGCCCAAATTTGTGAGCCTCCTCCCTCAGCCTCCTGAGCAACTGGGATCACAGGTGTGAGCCACCATGCCTGGCGTGCATCCTGCACATTTTATTAGATTCTATTTTCTCTTTCATTCAGTTCAAAGTATTTTCTAATTTCTCTCGAGGCTCTTGAACCCATGGACAATTCAGGAGTGTGTTGCTTAAATCCCAGGGTTTGGAGGACTTTTCCAAGTAATAATCCTCCAGTTATGGATTTACAGTTTCATTCTATTATGGTCAGAGAAGATGCTCTGAACAAGTCGAATAGTTCAGATTTGTTAGGGTCCTTAGGATCCTCCGTGTGGCCGTGGGGCCTGGACACGCACCTTCCTGCTGCTGTGGAGAGCTTGCCGCTGGGGCTCTACAGTGTGGCTGGCGCTGCGCTCAGAGCTGGCCTCGCTGACCTCTGCGAGAAGCGCTGCCGTCTCGAGGTGTAATTGTGGATCCACTTTCCCTTTGGGCTCTTCCCAGTCGTACTCTGCGAGTGCAGGTCCCGCGGGGCTGGGCAGTGTTCTCTTTACCCCTTGCTTTTCCTCTTTCTCCCAGCTCGCAGCTTGGAACCGGACCCCGCTGGGCGCGCGCCCCACCCAGCCCTCCCTCGTCCCCCTCCTCAGATTTACACCAGAACCCAGAGACCACGAAAGTGTCTGATTCTTGACCCTTGTTCATTCTGCTGCCGGGTGTGCCCAGAACTGGACGCAGGCCCCTGGCAGATGTGCACCTCCGCCCACAGCAACGCGGCTCACAACACCCAACTGTGGACACAATCGGTGTCCACACAGGTGATGGGTATGGTGTGGCCCATGGGGATGAGGGTGACGAGGGCTCCCTCCGAGCCTGCTTCCCCTTAGAACGGGGGTGACTGGAGGCCTTCCCTCCAGGGTGGGCACCAGACAGGCCAGGGGCTGCCTGGGGCGAGGCCTGCTGGACACACTGGCCTCCGCTGCTCCCTCCCCAGGTCCCGTCCTGCAGACACTCCATCTCTGCTTCTGCTGCCTGGTCCCCTGCACCAGCAGGTCACCTCCCACCTGCGACCCCCCAGCCTGTCCTCCCTGCACCAACCACCAGAGGGCGCTGTGAGCACCTGAGCGGGGGCCCTCCAAGGCTCCCACCTCCTTGGGGTCAAAGCCAAGTCCTCCCTGCCCCCCGCCCCACCTCTCCCGCCGCGCCCTCCCTCTGCTCCAGCCACAGGGCTCCCGAGCCTCCAGCTTGCCAGGCTTGTCCCCCCGGCTGCCAGCCTTCGCCCAGGCTGGGCCTCAGCCAGGAGCACCAGCCTCGGGTAAGTGAGGCTCCTTCCCTCCCTGAAGGGCCCATCCAGAACAGCCCTCGCCCGCGGGCCCCCTCCTGCCTGGTGGGGTGCTGCGCGCTGCCTCCCTGGCCCAGGGACACACTGGGCCCGACCAGGCCCCAGGACCAGGTCAGTGACGCTGGGGGAGGGAGAAAGAGAAGCTTCACCCGCTGCCAGGGGATGGGCATGGCGCAGCACTGCGGAAACAGCTGGCGGTCCCCACCCCGACCAGAGCTGCAGCAGGGGTGTTCCCACAGCTGAGGGCAGCAGAGAGGAGACAGCCCAGGGCTGACCCACAGGCGCACGGCTAGTGCAGCCCATCTACATGGTGAAATATTACTCAGCCACGAACAGGAAGAAAATTCTGACACCTGCTACGAGGTGGGGGGCCCTTGCGGACAGTTATATGAGCCAGTCACAGGACAGGCTGCAGGACCCACCCACAGGAGGTCCCTGGTGTCATCAGATTCAGACAGGAAGTGGCATGGCGGGTCAGGGGCTGGGAGGGGATGGGAGCTGGACGTGGTGACAGTTGCTCAACACTGCAAATGTGCTAATGCTGGGGAACTGGGCGCTAGGGCAGGTCAAATGGTAAGCTGTGGCGTGTATTTTACCACAGTTACAACCTTCCCCCGAAAGGAAATGACTAAATGGAGGCGGAGCAGAGAGGCCGCTGGATCAACAGCCCTCTGCAGCGGTGGGGAGGCACACCTGCCTCCTGAGTGTCCTGGGAGTGGCTCTTGGGCCCAGTCCCCAAATAACGCAGGCCTTGGGACAGGCTGGAAGTCAGGGGCCCAGCATGTGACGCCCCCCAAGGAGGTGGACAGCGCACCAGAGCCAGGCGGGAGGCAGGGAGGACCTGGGGCTGAGGCCGGGCCTGGGTTGCGCCCGCCCGCCCCTTTGGCTGGCACCAGAAGCAAGGCAGCGGGGCCACTGTGTGTAGGAACAGGATTTATTCCAATTAAAACAATTCGCTTCAAGAGAAAGATATGAAAAGTCGATTTCCATCAGGAACATGTGGAGTAAGGGGTCAGGCCCCGGACCTGCTGCAGGGACCCCGGCCCCTTGCCCAGCCCGAGGTTGGCATGGGGCCCAGAGCGCCCGCTCCTCACTCTGTCCCCAACTTGCCCAATACATGCACTTCGAATGACAAAAGGCTTAAAAACAGCATTTTACAGAATATTCTTTTTAAACAGGTCGGGGTCCACGTCGTCTGGGGTCAGGGCTCCGCGGTGCGCAGGTCCTGGGTGGTGGCCAGGCAGAGGGCACCTGGGGGACAGTGCCCAGGCCAAGGCTCCTGTCGGGGCTGCTGACGACAGTTTATGGGGGGGACACCAGGGTCACCTCGCAGCCCAGCTGCCGGGGAGCATATCAGGCGTGGCCCATCCCCATGGCCCGAGGTTGCTGCCCGGTCCTGCCTGGGTGGCGCTGGCGCAGGAGCTCCTGTCTTGGTTCTGCCGGGCACAGGGGCCTGGTCAGGCCACGGCCCCAGGCGGCCCGGGTACGCTTGGCACGCTGCCCCTCTGTGAGGGTCAATACTTGGCTGGCAGAGGCGCCCAGGCCCCACGGGAGGGACCCTGTCCTCGGGCCACTGACAGAGCCCAAGTCCTCTTCCCTTCTGAGAGGTCAGGGTGCCCCTCTGCAAGGACCCTGGCCCAGCCCCACTGCCAGGGTCTATGGCACAAACCCTCCTAGGCACACACAGCCCAGGGACGGACCCGCTAAGACAGGGACGCCCTGCCCTAGGATGCTGCGGGCCCCACAGGCCACAGCCAGGGACAGCCCCACTTCCAAAGCCCCCTCAGCCCTCCCCAGGCCCGCGTGGGCAGCGGGCACAGGCGGCTCACGGCTGGCTTACTCCTGTGCCCTCTCCAAGCACCAAAGCAGCAGCCTCCAAGGGTCCCAGCAGGGTGCCAGGGACAGGCACTGCCGCCGACCCACTCACTCCCAGGACACATGAGCAAATCCAACAGAACAACACCGTGACACCAGAGGGACGGCCACTTCCACCCTGAGCACAGCCCCTGCTCCGCCTTGTCTCAGGGACCAGGCCCAGGACATGGGCTGGGGACTGGGGACTACCCTCCCGCACCTGGCCACCACTGGCCCTCGAAGGCCTGGCAAGGTGCAGGGGCGGGCTGAGGACACTGCGGGGATGGTCACGCACATGGCCACCAACAGTGACCCCCACCTTTCCTCTCTGCTTCTCGGGGACAGACCTGAGAAGATTCTGAAGAAGTCCCCACTCTGCCCTCACTTTCCAAACCGGTGACAAAAAAAAAAGGAGCAAAATGGAAGCCACACGACCCGGAGCAGGCTCCGTGCCCCCGACGCTCGGCCGTCCCCAGCGCTGGCTCCCAGGCCAGGCACCAGGCCCAGGCCCCGGGCCCAGGCCCCCAGCACCACCCCACTGCCCGCAGGACAGGCACCCGAGTCCCCAGCCCGGCAGATGGGGCCGACGGCACCAGGCACGTGGGGTCTCCTCCGACCTGGGAGCCCCGTGAGCTGGTTTTTTTTTTCTTTTCCTCAAAAAACAAAAAAAGAACAAAAAAGACCGTACAGACGACTCTGTACGTGTACAGGTGAGGCACTTCCGGGGCGGGCGGCGGGTGCACCACCCCCACTTCTTGGAGTCCAGGAGCAAATTACAGCGCAGGTCGCGAGGACGTCAATAACTTAGAGAAGTGGTAACAGGCCACGGCCCAGGACCCCACACCTCCCCGTGGGAGCCCAGGGTCGCGGGCGCCCGGGGCCTGGGGCGCCGGCTCTCGGCCACCTGCCTCCGATCTGTTTTTTGTTTATTCTTCTCTTTTCTTTTTTTTAGAAAAAGACCGAGCCACAGATCAAGGCAGAAAAGGCTGCCGTGGCCCTGGAGGGCGCGAGGGAGCGGGAGGCGTGGGGCGTCCGTGGCCGGGCGGCCGGGCTCACACCAGGTTGTACTCCTTGAGGTTCAGCTGCAGGATGGTGTCCTTGACGGCCGCGAACACGAAGCGGATGTTCTCCGTGTCCGTGGCGCAGGTGAAGTGCGAGTAGATGATCTTGTCGCTGTCGGGGTTCAGGTCCACGAACATCTTCAGGATGAACTCCCGGGCGGCCTGCGCGTCCCGCTGCGGCCCTGGGGCGGGCGGGCGGGCGGGGGTGAGGCCCCGCTCTGGCAGCACAAGCCTCCGCCCCCCCCCCCCCCAGCCGGCCTGGCCCCGCGCCGCCCCCTCCCGCAGGCAGGCTCACCGTCGAACTCGGGGAAGTAGTCCACCAGGTGGGAGCAGAGGATCTTGTCCTCCAGCAGGTCCTTCTTGTTGAGGAAGAGGATGACGGACGAGTTCTGGAACCAGGGGTAGGTGATGATGGTGCGGAACAGCGCCTTGCTCTCCTCCATGCGGTTCTGGGGGGATGTGCGTCTCAGGAGCCTGGCCGGGGCCACGGCCCCGCGGAGCACGGCCAGACCCAGGCCGCGGCCAGGGCAGGGCAGGCGCTCACCTCGTTGTCCGACTCCACCAGGACCTGGTCGTACTCGCTGAGCGCCACGAGGAACATGATGGACGTCACGTTCTCGAAGCAGTGGATCCACTTCCTCCGCTCAGACCTCTGTCCCCCGACGTCCACCATCCTGCACAGAAACAGCCCACGAGCACTCAGCACCAGAGAGACGGCCCCGACCCCTGTGGCTGCGGCTGCCACTGGACACTGCTCATGAGCCCAGGCCAGCAGGTGTGGCCGGAAGCCAGTGAGCGCCAGGAGTTCTGCTCAGCCAAGGCGGCACCTCGGAGGGCACCCGAGGAGCCAGGCTGCTGCGGCAGGCCGAGGGGGCACGGCGCTGCGCCTCTCAGGAGACGACACGATCGGAGCGCCCAGAGGGGACCTTCCTCCCGGTGCCCTCTCCATGGCTGGCTGGAGCTGCGGACACAGAGGGTGACTGTCCCTGTCTCTCCAAAATCGTGACAAGTCCTGAGAGCAGAGACCTGGAGAGTGCAGTGGTGGCAGATGGCGGGGCACAGGTCCCGGGGGGCCTGACAGCGCTGTGCAGCCAAAGCTGGTCGGGCTTCTGGGACCTGCTGCCTCAGTCTGGAATCCCGGAGGAGGGAAGGCCTCTCCTGGCTGTGGACAGTGGGCCAGGTGTCCACTGCAGCCAAGGGTGGCCTCGTCACTCCTGCAGAGGCCCCGGCGAATCCCAGCCCCTTGCCCAGCTGCCATGTGCCTCACCGTCGGGATGTGGCAGCCGCAGAGGGCAAGGGGGGCCGTCTGGGTGCTGGGAGGGGAGGGGGCACAGCTCCGTCCAGCACGGCAGGTGCCAACATGTGGGCAGTGAGGGCGAGGGCAAGCTGGGAGACGCCTCTGGGAACAGCAGGCTGCGGGCGCTCCTCCTACCCCAGGATACAGGGACAGAGGCGTCACCCGGGGCCTGTGGAGGGGCAGGCGGGCTGCAGACACAACTCCAGGGCTGGCTGGGCAGAGGGGAGCCTGGGGCAGGGTGTGCAGGAGCCCAGCGGGCACAGGGCGGGCAAGCTGGCAGGACTGAAGGGCAGGGTGGCCGCAGAGGGCCCGAGCCAGGACCTGGCCCAGCTGGGGCTGCTGCCAGTGAAGGGTGGTTAGGGCCTTGGTGCTGGGCCACGGCCTCTCCCACCATGAGGCGTCCTCGGTGCACACGAGCCCCTGGGAGCCTTGTCTCCAACTGCGTCCCCTTTTGGGGACGAGGATCTTCTCACAGCTGAGGCAACCTGGTGCCCCCAATGCCTCCGATCAGGGCCAGGCCATGACTTGGACCCCCGGTCCTTGGCCAGCCCTCTGTGAACTCAGGGACAGGGCACTGCTGACCAGGTGCAGCCCGGGTGGCCTCAGATCCCACGAAGAAAAGACAACACGACCAGACACCTCCCCTCTCACAACAAGGTGGACAGGCAGCTTGGGGGGTCCAGAGCACCTGGGCGGCAGGGCAGCTCAGAGCCTGGACCCGGCTCTGCTGGGGAAGGGCGGCGAGAGCCGACACCAGGGCCTGGGGCGGCCTCGGCCACGGGGCCTCCAGGCAGACCCCGGGCCCCACGGGGCCACTGTGAGGACACGTGTGCTGCGAGGGGGCCAGCCCACTGCAGTGCAGGGCTGGGCTCCGTCCCCAGTGCCTGGAAGCAGGGTCCTGCTACAGATCAGCCAGGACGGGGGCCCAGTGGGGCTGGGGACCCCGTCTGATGACGGGCGTCCCAGTGCAGGGGCGATTTGACCACAGACGTGAGGGGGACATGTGCAGATGGAGGCAGAGGTTGGGAGACCCCTCCACAAGCCCAGGGCACTGAGGCCGCAACCTCCACCAGACACTGAGGGGGCCTCAGGGCCCAGCCCTGCCACCCTGGCCCTGGGACTTCCGCCTCCAGAGCTGAGGCAAGGAACACACTGGTCAGCGCTGCTCTGTCCCGGCAGAACCTGCACTCGGCCTGCCACCTGGTGGTCACTGGAGCCTCCCGGGGTGTGCGGACTCCCGAGGGAGGGCGCATGTCCCCATGGGCAGCACCAGGCCCACTCCAGCTGTGTGACCACCATGCACAGGGGCCAGTGAGGGCCCAGAGAAGTCTCGTCCATCCACCACTGGTCCACCAGCTGGAGTGGACCCAGAGCCCATTACAGGACCCCAGGGCCACAGGATACCTGCCCTGGGCCTGGAGCCCAAAGCTCCTTACCTGTCCACCCGCCCCAGGCCAGGCCCACTGCAGAGGCCCTGAGAGAGGCTGGCCTCTGGCCCCCCAGCTTGTTCCTGGCACCTCCTGCCCGACAGTCTGCCCCGGCCCAGGGGCTGGCCCTCAGCCCTGGTCTGGGGAAGGGGCAGCGCCCCATGCCGCACCTGAAGATGATGTTCTCCAGGTCGAAGGGGTACTCGATGATGCCAGTGGTGGGCACACGGACCCGCAGCACGTCCTGCTGGGTGGGCAGGTAGCCAGAGGTGGCGATGCGGTCCACGTCGGTCAGGTAGCTGAAACACAGCAGGCAGGGCTGCTGCGGCCACTGCTCAGGAAGGGCGGGCCCGGCACTGTGTGCAGGGCCAGGGCCAGGGCCAGGCCGGGGGAGGGGAGGCTGCCCACCCCACCCCCACCCGGACCCGGGGGCAGGAGCCACAGGCTCTTCCTTAGGTCTGGGGGACTCGGCAGCCGGGCCGTGCGTGGGGGGGGACATTCAGAGGCCTGTCTTGCTGAATATCCACCTGTTATTTAGGACAGCTACAGACTCACAAGGAGGGTGGCCTCCCACAGGGAGCCCCGCTGCCCGTGCCCGGCTGCTCGTCTCACGCCTCCTACAGGCTGTGGCGCAAGCTGCTGTCCGGGCATCTCTGTGTCACCCCCACGGGGCTGGCTCCTCGGGCACACTGCGTCCCTCCCTTATGCGGGACTCCTTGGGACCTGTCCTCCAGGGCTCCCTGGGCCACGCTGGCTCCTTAGTCCTCCCAGGGGTCTGTCTGCTGTCTCTCTGCCAGGCTGCACACCCAGGTGTCATGGCCTCTGACCCAGAGCCCTGCTGGTCAGGGCTCTACCACGGTCCCCCCAGAGGGGGGCAGGCAGGTGGGAGGATGGGCAGGGCAGGAGGCTGGCAGCCCACCCTGTCCTTGGAGATCCCGCAGATTGAGGCCCCTGCCGGGAGGCCAAGAGGGCCAAGAGGGGGTAGGGGCAGCCCGGCAGGGGCCAGGAGGGGCCAGGGGCAGCCCGGCGGGGCCAGGAGCGGGCAGGGGCAGCCTGGCAGGGCCCGGCCCAGGCCCAGGCCCAGGAGCTCACTAAAGCACAAGCCACCTCCCACCTAGGCCAGGAAGATGGGGTCCGGACGACCAGTAGAACGCGGCACCACCTGCCCCTGGTGGCGATGTGACCCTGCAGGACAATGCGCAGCAGGCTGGGTGGGCTGCTTCCCCGCCTCCCGGCCCAGCCCAGCCGGCACTCACTACTTGGCCGAGTCCGAGAGCTGGAACTCCCTCCTGCGGTCGTAGCACTCCTGGATGCCTGGGTCCCCCCACAGCGTCTTGATGGCCTCCACGTACTGCTGCTCGAACGTTGTCACCTTCTCCACGTCCACCTCCCGGATCAGGAGGGCGTTGGCCTGCGGAGGAGGAGGGGAGGCCAGAGCTCAGGCAGGGGCATGTCCAGGCCCCAGCCAGGTGGACAGAGTGCTGCCCACGGAGAAGAGGAGCCCAGGATGGGTTTTCCGAGGACCTCCGTCCTGGAGCAGGCAGGCCCTGGCGGACACGGCCTGGCCGCCAGGCCCCGCGAGGCAAGTCCCCTGGGCTCCCAGGCTTCACGTGGGCCCCTGATTTGCTCTTAGAACAGGGAGGACACAGGGGACCAGAAACCAGCACACGTGTGAACAGAACCACTCCTGAACCACGAACGACAGCGAGCCCTTAAAAGGGGACTCAGCCCCGACATGACGCCAGGACAAACGGGCGACGGCACCACCACATGCCACCTCCACTTCTCCCAGAGGTGCCGGGACGTCGCCCTCCCAGGCCCCAGCGCACAGGGTGAAGCCGAGTCAGAGGGCTGCGCAGCCCGGGGTGCCCAGGCCTCACCTCTGCCAGCACCACCGCACCACACCCGGCCCAGGAGCAAAGCCCCAGCTGGGCGGGGGGGGGGGGGGGGGGGGGGGGGGGCGTGCCCGCCAGGAGCCCCGTGGGGACAGGGCGGCCGAGGCCAGGCCGCTGGCACACGCAGGCAGGTGCACGGGCCCTGTGCAGGGCAGGCCCTCGGCAGAGGTCCCCGTGCTCCTCACGCCTCTCCTCAGCCACGGTGGGCACGCCTGGCCGTGGCATGGCTGTGGGGCTGGGCAGGGTACACCTGGCAGGACCCCAAAACGGAAAACAAGGGAAGCCCTGCTGGGCGCCAGGGCTCACTGGGTGTCCTCTCAGCCCTGTGCACCGCGTCCCCGCCCTCCACACCCCTCCGTCTGGGCCAGGACAAGCCACTGAAGGACGAGCGGGGTCAGGGCTGCCTCCAGAAAGCCCACAGCCAGCACTGGGGGCGGGGACCCGTCTCTTGCCCCAGAGGCCTTTCCAGCTTCGCGGTGGCCCGAGCGTCTCCACCTCTGTGTGCCCCCTCTGTCTGCCACAGGCAGCACGGAGCCAGCGTGCGGGCCCGTGAACCTGCGCCCCGACACGGCGGCTGTCCTGGCCGCGGTCAGGTCCAACGGGTCCACAGCCCGAGGAACACCCAGCCTCTCGGCAGCACGGCTGCCAGACAGCAGACCTGGGCAGGGGCAAGGCCAGGCCCCGCCAGAGACCCCACGGGGCCCACGCACGACAGCGAGGCCCCGCCCCACCCCCGTGACCTGGAGTGGGGGGCTCAAGTCCAGGAGCCATCCAAGACCTGGGGAGGGCCTGCAGATTCCAGGTAAATAGTCCAACAGTGTCTGACCACCCCCAGGCCAAGGTCAGCCCAGGCCAAGCCTCGATTTCTGGGTGAAGTCTAAGTCCCTAAGACACATCTGCAAGACCAGTCCGCACCCCACCTGGCAAGGCCAGCAGCTCTCCACCAGGGCCACCTGGCACGCGGCTGGCAGGCCTGTGGAGTGGTGTAGCCTCAACGCACAGCGTCTGCTAGGTCCTCAGAGGCTCCAAGCCCAGGAGACCTAGAGACAGCCACACGGAGCACGCCCAGCACGGCTCGGAGCAGCCTCGGGCAGTCCTCACGTCCACCAGCGGACGAACACGGGCACGGGGCGTCTCACCCTCACGCTGCAGCGTCACTTGGGTGGGAGCAAGAGCAAGGTGGCAGCTCCAGCGTGAAGGGACCGGCGGACCTGGTGCTCAGTGACAGCCAGACGCAGAAGGCCTCAGCGTGTGACCCAGTGACACAGAGCCCAGGACAGCAGAGTCCAGAGATGGGACGTGGACTGCGGGTGCAGGGCTGGGGAGGGGCAGGGTGACTGTGGGGATGGCGTTTCCAGTTTTTTTTATTTATTTTCTAGCCGTTGATGACCTTATTTTATTCACTTATCTACATGCGGTGCTGAGGGCCGAGCCCAGGCCTCCTGCGTGCTAGGCGCGCTCTGCCGCTGAGCCCAGCCAGCCCCGGGTTTCCTTTTGGGGTGATGGAATGTTCTGAGACCAGATCGTGGTGCTGGCTCACGACTGTGTGGACATGGTAGAGGCCACCGAGCCGTGCTCTTCAAGCAGGTGGGCACAGGCTGAGCGTCACCCTGGCAGCTGCACCTCGCGGGGTCACCGCGAGGCCGAGTGCCATGTGAAGGAAGCGCCTGGCAGGCTCACAGGCTACAGAGGGTCAGCTCCTGGGAGCCTCTCTGCCCGTTCCCCAGGTGGCCTGGGCGAGGCAGTTCCCTGCAGGGAGCCAACAGCCACTTAAGGGACCCAGGTGGTGCCCATCACAGCACCCAGCCGGCACCCAGGGCACTGCTATGCCCCGGGCCGCAGCTCACCTGGTTCTGCTCGTACTTGTAGAGGATCTTGAGCGTCTCCATGGCGCGGATCATGGCCTGCATGGCGGTGAAGATGTTCTGGTACACCAGCTTGGTGAAGCCCCGCTTGTCCTCCTCCGAGTAGCCAGCGCCGTGGATGATGCGCATCTGCTTGATGAAGGTGCTCTTGCCGCTCTCGCCCGTGCCTGCAGGGCAGGGGGGGTGAGCCCAGGGCCCGCAAGCCAGGCCGCTGCCCAGTCCTGGCACATGGGGTGCTGCGGTGGCACCGCACCATGCCGCCAGCCCGTGCCACAGACGCAGAGACTGAGGCCGGCTCCCAGAGGGTCAGGTTGGCTAGCTACTTCCCCCAGGGGCAGCAGCACCCTCCGCCACAGCTGCCCAACCTCAAACTTGCCTCCTCCAGAGCATCCACTGAGGAGGGCCAACCCACCACGCCCACCAACACCATCCCGGGCAGGGGCTGGTGGAGGTGGGAGTGGCTGGTGCCACTCTCCTCTCCTCCCCTACTCTGCAGAGAAGGAAAAGGCACCAGGAATGCACCTTCTAGGGCAGCGTCCCCCGAGGCACTGCTGATGTCTAGGGACGGGTCATTTTCTGGAAGGACATCCTGGGCACTGGAGAGTACTGGGCAGCGTCCCTGGCCTCCACCTGCTGTCGGGAGCTCCCCCACTTGTGACATCCAGAAATGTCCCCAGACATCACACCAAGCATCCCCGAGGGCAGAACTGCCCATTACTGCCTCGATCTGCACACTGGTTTGTGGGAGGAACATTTGGCCAGAGGGGGGACGGGGCACACCTCTGAAGCCAGCACCCAGACATGGGACCCTGGGGGGAGAAGGGAGCAGGTCAGCCCTCGCTGAATTCAAATCAACGCCCGAAGTCCCTCGAGTCCCAGGTGCCTCAGCTGTAAGATGGAAAGTGGGACCCCAGGGCCACCATGCAGAGTCCCACAGCACCCGAGGGGTGACGACACACAACGCCACCTGCTGCCCATGGGTGCCCTCCAGAAGCAAAGGAACCTTGCCTAGGGACAGTGACTGATTACCACCTGCACCTGGGATAAGGGTCACTCAGTGTTCAAGCCAGGGCAGCGAGGACCCCCGTCTGAGGCAGCTGCCCCTCTACACACGGGTGGCCTTTCCACAGAAGACATTCTGGGTCTCGTGCCCTGCGCTAACGATGACCAAGCAGAGGCCAGGAGAGGCCGGGGCCAGCAGGAGCCGTGTGCAGGGCCTCTGGCCAGCCCAGAGCACCCGGCCACCGCTGCGCAGAACCTGCCAAGGCCGCAGCCCAGGTGCGGTGCTGGGGTGTCAGCTGAGCAGCACAGCGGGGTTCCCTCCACCCCCAGCCACCATCACATCCTGCCACCCAGCACCTCAGAGCTGCAGACGCCTGGGTCCTGCCTGGGGCCTCACATCCCCCAGGTGCGGCCTGGCGCCCGGGCTCCTGTTAGCAGAGGCCCCCTCCCACTGACGCCTCTCACTGGGCCGACTCACCCTCGCGCTCACACCACCACAGCTGTCACCAGGGAAGGGCCACGTGCACGGCACAAGGAGGCATGTGACCCCTGTGCTCTGGCCTCATCCTGGACTCGTCCACAGCGTCCCGCCCACCACCCTCCTGGACCATGGGAGGAACTGCCTGGGACCCCCGAGCTCCACACACCACCCCAGAGCAGACCTGCGCAGACAGTGGCAGGAGCTCCACTCCCAACTGCTAGGAATGGGGCCACCTGAGGTCCCCCAGCAGGGACCACTCAGCCCGCATCTCAAGGGGTACAAGAGGGCCCTGGAGGGGGGCGGCACTGGAGCACACAAGGCAGGGCAGGGCAGGGCAGGGCAGGGCAGGCGGGCCTCCAGGAGCTGCCACAGCACCAACGTGACACCTAGGACTCCCAAATGACAACTGGGGCCTGAACCTCTGTGTGCCCCAGAGCAACAAGCAGAATCCTCAGCCCGGAGCCCAAGCCCCAGCACTCAGAGGCGAGGCGGAGGGAGGGGCGCCCTCAGAGTGCAGAGGGCACCGAGCTGCCTGTCCCCCCACACCAGCACACTTGAGGATGCGGGGACACGGGGACACGGGGCCCTCTTCGGGCCTCCAGCACCCAGAGCAGCCAGCATCTGGCATCTACGAAAAAGCACGTGGCCAGCGGTATTCCACAGGGAACCCCACACGGAGACGACAGAACCTCAGAGACGGAGAGCATGGTGGCGGCCAGTCAGACAAGGGGATACCAGGGCCTGGGTCACACCTCTCCCCACTGCGGGAGAGCACACAGGCAGCCCTGAGGGTCCTAGCTCAGCAGGACCGCGCCCCCCCCACCACCTGGGGGCAGGTGCCCTGTGCAGTCAGGCTGCCCCAGGTCCTTGTCCTTCCCAGCGCCACAGCGTGAGCCTGGGCGGGAATCTAGGCCCAGCTCTCAGGAAGCCTCGGGAAGCGGCCGGCTCTCCCAAACAGCAGCCCTTCTCCGCAGGGCACTGGACACCCTGCCCTGCAGCCAGGCCTGGCCAGGGCTCTGCCACCAGCCCCTGCACAGCCAGTCTTCACAGCACCCCTGAAGGAGCTGCAGGAGGGGCCCCTCCTGTCCCTGGCCCCAGCCCCCAGCACAAGCCAAGTCTCAAGGTCTGGGGCACCCACATCACCAGGAGGCCCCACACGGCCACAGGCAGGTGCTCTGCCACCTCGGCCACAGCGCTGCCTCTCCTGCCCAGGAGCCTGCAGGACACCCGGGCAGGCTCACCATCACCACTAGGAGGGTCCGAGCCCAAGATGACGTCCGATGAGCCAGAAAGTCACACTGTGCCTCAAGCAGGTGGCTAGACAGGCCGGCCAGGAGCTCTGCCGTCCACAGGCGGAGGGGAGAGCGCACAGGGAAACCGCACGGGGGCCCCACATGGCCTGGCACTTGGGGTCCCACAGGTGACACGACAGCCAAGGCAGTGACAGAATGGCCTGACTCACAGACTGATCTCCGCTCCACTGCTGGGGGCTGTAGTCAGGACTGCCACCACCCCAGGACCCTGGAAGAGGCAGGCCTTCCTGGTACAGTGAGGACCCCAGACCCCTCCCCCAGTCACCCCACACCTGTTTTTGAGCCCCCTGGTCCCTGCAAGCGGGGGCTTATCAACGCTCTTTCTGAAGCCCCCTTAGAGTCAGGAGGCCTGGGGAGTGCCCAGTCCTGCCCACCAGCCCAGAGGGGGCGTGTGAGCAGGACACTGGGCTGGGCAGTGACGGCTCTCCACCCTGAGATGCCCACTTCACACAGAACGGTTCCCTGGGACTCAGGTGGGGGCTGCGGTCCGCACAGGCACACTGCTGCCCCCAGGCTGCTGCTGTAGGGGCATGATGGCCAGGAACCGGGCAGAGGAAGGGGCGGCTCCCACCACCACTTTGGGAACACGCCCCCCAATGACCTAAAACCCTCCCCAGGCCCCGCCTCTTAAAGGCTCCATCCACCCACACACTACCCAGGGACCACCAAGTCTTGAACACCTGGGCCTTTGGGGAACATACAGCACCTCCCAAGTTTTGGGGACACAGACTACCTGTCCAGCTCCCCTCTGTCACCCGTGAGGCTCAGCTAGTACAACCAAGGGGGCGTCAGGAGACACAGACGCCTGTTGCCATCCCTCACAGGAATCGCCTCGTCCTGTCAGGGGGCCCGAGCAGAGTGCAGCCCAGGGGACAGGCAGCCCCACAACACAGTCCCCCAGCAGTGCCCACCACAGCCCACCAGGCACAAGCACCCTTCCTGGCCCCAGGGATCAACAAGCAGCAACTGTCAGCAGGCCAGGCTCCAGAGACCCCACAGGACACAGGGGCCCATGCAGCAGTGGAGGGGACCACTGCCCCTCAGTGCACACCCCTTGAAGAATGACCAGGAGGGAACACAGATGGTGCGCCTCGGCATGGCCACACCCCTTCAGGCTGCCACCCTTGATCCTCCCTGTGGTCCCAGAAGGGACCACCAGGGAGCACTGGCTTTGGAGTCAGCCAGGACAGAAGCCCCGAGACAGTGCAGCTCGGCATCTTCCCAGCGTGGTCCCTGTGGGGACAGTAATGGGGGACACCCACGAACCAGGGCTGCTCCAGCCGCATTTCAGCAAGGATGAGCAAATAAGCCGCAGTAGAGAGGGTCGGGAGAAGACAGCCCTGCGGGAGGCGGCCGGCTCAGGGAGGAGGCAGAGGGCGGCTCTCCAGGCTGCCACGCCCACTCAGGCTGCTGTCCTGTGGTGGAGCACTGCTCCCTTTTGGCAGATGAGGAAACAGGCCGAGTGACACCAAAAGACTGGCTCTCTCCCACTCTGGGTGGCACAGGCAGCCTGGGCTCAGGAGACACTCAGGAATTAGTAAGAGACTGTTCCTGGTCCCACCTACGTGTGGATTGGTGCAGAAGGCCACAGATGGTTGGTGACAGGGCCGTGGTGAGCTCGGGGCGGCAGGAGTCAGGAACCAGGCTATGCCCCTTCGTTTCCTGAGTGGATGGGCTTCAGTCAGCCAAAGTCCTTCAACAAGCACCTGGAGCCCCCGGGGCTCGGGGTCCGCATCCAGGGCAGAGGACTCAGAATACGGCTGACCAACAACAGAGAGCAGGGAGGGACCCTGAGAGACCCAGGTCAGCAGTCCTCAACCAGGGTTGTCCTGGTTGAGGACACCACCTCAAGGACAGAGGGCCATGTCTGGGGATATCGTCGTTGTCACGACTGGGAATGCTCCTGGCCCAGAGTGGGCAGAGGCCAGAGACACTGCAGTGCCTGGGATGCCTCCTCCAGGGGCTGATCCGGCCACCCTGTCCACAGGCCCAGGTGTGCTGTAGGCCCTCCCGGACCCTGGGCTCTTCCTCCAGGAATCAGCCCTCGTGGAGGGCTGTGGCCAGGCTCACGCTGGGCACTCTGCAGCAATGTGACACCCTGACAGCAGACGGCAGCACTGTGTGCTCACGGGACTGGATGTAGGTCCCCTGAGCTCAACCCCACCCCTCGGGGAAACCGAGGCACAGGCCTGTGCTGTCACAGCAGCAAGTGGCAGAGGTGCCTCTGAACCACACAAAACCCAGACTTGGGGACATCTGGAGGACCCAGGAGGAGCAGGGTGCTCCACCCAGTTACGCCACCCCTAGGACCAGAAAGCCACCAAAAGCACAGAGGCAGTGCAGGAAAGGGTCGAGGGAGTGGAGGGGGCAAGGGGCACAGACCAGGTGACCAGCTGGGAGCTGAGTCCAGGGCTGCACGTGCAGATGGTGTGACGACCCAGCAGTGGCCTTCAGAGGACTGATGATGCTGCAGGCAGAGGGCAGGGGACCCAGGGTGAAAGCCCAGGCCTCGAGGCCACAAGCACACAGGGCCCTAGGGTGGCACAAGCCCCAAGCCAGTGACCCGGTGCTCAGAGGCCCAGTGCTACGAGCCGCTGGAGTCCTGCCACACTGCAGTCGCCCCCGGGCGCCCCAGGCCCTCGGGTGCCCCAACAGCATCTGCTGTAGGGAGATAAGCACCCTGCTGGGGACCCTGCTTGGCTGCAGAGAAGGGACAGCTGGCCCCAAGGGCCTTGCCACCTGCCTAAGGTCTCTCTGACACGACTGCACCGTGACTCCCTCACTCCCGCGCCAGCGCCCTCTCCCGTGGTGCAGCAGGGTTCTGGTCCCCGACAGAGCAGGGCTCCACAGCAAAAGTCAGCAAGTGAGCCCCTGTGGCTGGGGTCAAGGACAGCAGCTGGCAGTGCTGAGGCAGGAGGTCCAGGCAGGGACAGCACAAAGGACCTCAGTGACCCAAGGATGCCGAGCTCAGGGCCCACGGCCTGTACGCAACCCACCTCTGACCCCAGGATGAGCCTGGCCACGGAGGAGGGACACCACTTCGCCTGCTGCACTGGGAGGCCCAGGCTCAGTCCAGGCTGGGCCCGGGCCGTCTGGGGAGGAGCAGCCGCCCAGGGGAGAGGGCAGCTGAGCAATGGGGCCTCCTGCTGCCGGCTTTGTTCTTTTTTTGGTCCTGGGGATTGAGCTGAGGGGAGCTTTCCCAGTGAGCCACATCCCCAGTCCTTTTACTTCTTACTCTGAGACAGGGCCACCATGTTGCCCAGGCTGGCCTCCAATGTGCCGCCGTCCTGCCTCACCCCCAGGTGCTGGGACGACGGGGTGCGCCGCCACAGCCAGCGGGTAGCTGAATCTAAATGTAAAGGACGGAAGAGCGCATCCCGGGCGAGCCCTGGCCCTCTGCAGCGTGTGCAGGGTGGACAAGGCCGAGGAGCTTCCTGCTTCCACAGTCTGTGGGTGCAAGACACAGGACCCTGCCAGAAGCCAGTAACCTGGATGTGCCCTCCCCACAGGGAGGCACGCCCAGCCCTCCTCAGGGATCCTGGGATTTGGCTGCCCACAGGGCCTGCGCAGGGAGGCACCACCACCCAGCTTTCGGTTTAGAAAGCCTGGAGCCACTCGGGCTCAGCCTTGGAAGGACGCCGCGGGGCCTCGGGGCACAGTGTTCCCTGCCTCAGTTCCCCACCACAACCTGCCAAGGCCAGGCAGTGGCCTCCTGGGAGTCTTACCACCAAGTGACAGAAACGCAGCAGCCAGAGAGCAGGGACAGAGGCAGAGGCCTGGCGGCCCGATGGGAGCCCAGCACCCAGCTCCCCAGGGCCTCTGCTCCTCCGTGCTCGCCTCCTGGGGGCCTGGCACAGGGGCTGGACAGCACACTCACTGAACAGACAGTCCCCATCTCCCAGGCCCACTGCTGGCGGTCATTGCCACTGACAGGAAAGTCAGGACAGGCCAGGGACAGCACCGCGAATAAAGTGGAACGTGTGTACGTGTCCTCCCGTGTTCTGAGCAATGAAACACATCAACAGAACTACTCGCACCACAGCCGTCACCAAAACTTCCCACAAGGTGACACACACTGTCGCACAGCCAGCACTTTATACCATATGCCACCGTGTGACAGGGATCCTCAAGCAGGGGCGCTTTGCCTCAGGACACACTAGTCATCATCTGGACTCTTGGTCTGGAGCAGACAGAGGCCAGGACACTGTCCACACCCTGCAGTGCCCAGGACACCCACCCCAGAGAACAGCCCAGCCCAGCGTCCAGCGCTAGGGAAGTGCTGCCCGGAAGCCCCGCCCAGCTGAGCAGCCTCACA